CAGTGATTTTTAAAGTTTAAGCCGTTGATTATGCATTGCGATTGGATTATGCTGGTACTGCTGGTATTATATCATATCACATATGTGTTGGAATGTAACATGTTGTAGAAACTGATGCAAGCACATACAGTCAGTTTCACATTCCTTTCTGGCAGTATTGGAAAAATTAGTTTTTAACCCATTAACGGCCAATACGTTCTCCTGATGTGTAAAATTGTCTGGCATTAGACAGAGCAAAATAACAAAGTAGGGTGCATTGGAGCTTAATGGGTTAACAATAGGTCAGGCAGATAGACTGGTTAATCCATTAACGTCCAATACTCTTACCTTAACAAGTAAAATATCTGGCGTTAGACAGAATAAAATAACAAAGTAAGGCTCACTGGGGCACATTGCAGTTAACTAGTTAATTTAACCCATGCACCAATTAATGGGCATTGCACTCCAATTCACCTTACCTTAATATTTCACTCTGTCTCACGCCAGACAATTTTATTTCTAAATCAGTATTTTACTCTTTTAGGGAAGGTTCTTGCACATTAATGGTTACAGCAGTTTCGCGAGATTCGCTACCCCTGGCGGAAAAGGCCTGGCAGCAATATAGTTGTTTTTGACATTCAGGTGCAGTCACTAATTATATGCCGGTTTGTAAACAAAACCCCTGGTTGATTCGAAATAAAAGAAGCCAATCAAATGCTCAGTGATGTCAAATTAGTGACTGTCCCTGACAGGCACAGATTTTCTTGGGGATGTGGGGGGGGGGGGTGCACCACCACCCCCCCCCAGAGGCATTTGGCACCGTCCCCAAAAGTTTTTGCACCCCTGCAAATTATATATATTTTGATTTGATAGTTTCATATCTGATTATTCTTACTACTAAATTTGTAAAATTATCAATATTATGGTCTCAGATCTCGCCATGCAGGCCTAGAAAACAAATTTTGTTATACTTTTTCCTTGGCCTTTCCGGGTGTTGCCACCACACCCGGCCAAAGCAAGCAGCAGCTCCCTCCCAGATATTTATCCATCCCCCCGAACGAAAATATGAAAATCCGTCTCTGGTCCCTGAATGGCAAAAACAACTATTGCTAACAAGACTTTTCGCAAGGGGTTGCGAATCTCGTGAAACTGCTGTAGTTAAATTCCAATTCACTTATATTATCGAATACGACGTTAAAATTATACTGTTATATCAACAGTTAACCAGCTTTAGCTAGTAATTAGATGAAGAGGATCTGCAAATTCTATAGTGGCTAAATCTGGTTGACAGTGGATAAATGAAAACACTTGCAATTTCTTGGAAAGTAACTTGTAAGTTTTATAGTAAAAAAAAACACTTATAATGATTGTATTACAACAATACTAATATATATTAAATATTTAATAAACTTTCATGTTAAAAAGTATATTTACAATAATAAAATATTATAAATATTTTTGCATTTAAAAATGCACAAACCCATAACCTGTATTTTTAAATAGCATGTAAACCTTTGACATAAACATATATCAACAAGCTCCACAACACATAACTGGTTGTTACTGCTGCTTAGGCATTTCTGCCAGTTTGAAAATTTTGGCAAAAGCCTACTGTCATTGCGAAAACAAACATTCATCCTCCAGGCTGCAGTTTCAATTCTAAATATTAAAGTTTCAAACCAGAATCAATCTTTCCCTCAGTGACACTTTTTTCAATAAGCCTCATCAATGGGTCCCCACAAATTGAACATTTTGCATCACTAGGGTTAGTTTTTAATAAACCACAGTAGCAGTATGATGGATTCTCAAAAATTCTAGGTGGAATATAGGCTTCATTGTGGCTTTTGTTACCTGGGAGCTCATAACCATGTTCTGGTAACCATACTAACATAATATATTCATGCTTAAATATTTCAAGCCACCGCCTTTGATAAGTTGTATTTTGACTTAATTTTTTAAGAAAAATATGTTTGGCTTCCCGCCCTTCCATGGTGACTATAGCCAAGCCTTTATTGTACTGTGAAAACACTTGTTGGGCATGAACAGGGACAATATGTCCCAATGTCCAAACAGTAGGATTTACAGATGTTGACAAAAACATTGCATTCACCCTCAAATACTCTTGTGCTGCAAGAGTAAGCTGGGCGAGTTGCTCTTCTTTAATGTCAAATCTGTTTATGAGAGACACACTGTCCCGTAGTCTCTGCCCTAAGTAGGCAAAGACAAGGATAGCCTGTCTGTCTGCTTTTGTGTCATTATCATCACTTAGTGCATTGACTAAGCTCATATAATTGTGACAAAACCTACGAGACTCCTTGCCTGTGAACCTGTATTGCAAATCAGGCCCAGATCCTTGGGTGTCATCAAACCACCGCTTAACCTTCTTGCAAAGGCATCCTGCTTTTACATGCATTTTCAGTGAACTAATAAGCCTGCCAAAAACACTCTCCTCGGGTACTTCAGAAAATGTCTTACAACTTACTGGGAGTTTTGATTTTCGAATGGCCTCTTTCAAAACACCCTTAAAAAAATATTGCCAGGCATTATTTTTTAGGTGCAAAGGCTCCACATGTGCCTGGTCAATGTATTTGTCCAAAAGGGGCAGGAATTCTTGCCTGCTCTTTTGCGAGGCAATAAATTCTGTGACTTTAGTCCGTTTAACTTTGCAAGATAATGGTTTTTTCTCAATTTTTTTCTTAAAAGATTCCACCTTTCCAACAACATTGACCCTTTGTTTATATTCCCATGGCTGCCATTTGTGCCCTGGTTCTGGACCAAAAGATGCCTGCAAGTCAGTTGCATCATCTTTGCAAACATTGGCAAAGGGGGAGAAGTACTTAGAACTAATGACAAGTTCCCCTGCAAGCATGGCGAGCATCTTCATGTCATTAGGAAGTTCTTGCACTTTAAAGGTAATTGTGACCCAGTCATCAATTTGGAAAATCTTTTTGTCCAACTCAGCAATCTGATGAACTAGAGACCTCACATATTTTTTTACAACTTGAGAGGTCTCGTCACAATTAGCCCCAAAAATGCAAAAGTTATCATGACTTGATGCTACCTTTCGACCAACATTAAGGAAACTAACTAAAAATGAACAGGCACTTTCATGTTTCCCAAATGGGCAACCATCCCCTCCTAGTGCTATTAAAAATGTACCCTCAGTTTTACCGTACCATTCTAAAGCATGTTTTCTATCGGTACTCAAATAGAACTTAGCTAAACGTGGCAAGTACTCTCTTAGATCTCTGTATGCGCCATTGATGGGTGCATCTATTTCTAAGTCACTGAGGTACTCGTTATTGATTTCCAAAACATTTCCAATATCAATTTTGTTCAACTCTCTTACAAGGTTATTATATGTTAATATTTTGGGTACCTTGCAGCCTGGAAAAATTGATATGCCCGTTCTCCCACCTTGTTCGCTTGATGTCATTGAAAGCACAAGCCTAACACTTTGATATTTTCTCTTGCCCATGCCACCACTTGAGTAAAATGTAGCAATACTCCTTTCCGCATTTTCTTTTGATTTTTCAAAATCTTTCAACTCTTTTTTGTAATGTTCAGAAACTACAGTTTTAGTTAAATTCTCATTACCTAATACATAATTTGTTAAATCTTTCATCTTGCATCGTTTCTGGAGGGTTTCGAACATCCCATCATAAGCAGGCTTTAAATTCTTCTTGGATGCACCATGGATTGCTGATACCGCTGTCATGGTTTCCCGCCTCCTTTTTGTTGCTGTTCGAACTGGCATATTTGATACCCCATTCTCCAATGTCGTAGCTTTTCTTGTCCTTGTCTCAGAATTACAGGGCTAACAATACAAATTAATTAGGATCATCAAATGGTCACGGCCCATCTCAAATCCCACTTACCATCACGAACAAATTATACTAGAGGTAATTGAAGCCATTGTTGCCGAGCCAAAATAACAAGGCCAAAATAGACAACTGCACAGGCAGGCAATATATTAGCAGTACTGGTATTGTCGTTAAATAATAAAATTGTAAAAAACCTGAAAAAAGTGTTCGAAAATCATAATTGTTTATCTGACGGGGTATTTCTTGCATGAAAGTCCAGAATCTTTTATATCATTACTTAAATTTACAGTATATATTACCTGTGCATGTAAATAGTTGACTGTTATTTAACAAATATAAAACATTTTCCGTGTTGATATACATTTATATCAACACGAGTGGAATTGGGACACGCCCTTCAGGCATCGTGTTTCCATACAATTTCGAGTTTTCCCAACTTCCACGAGTGTTGATATAACTATATATCAACTCGGAAAAAATGTTTTATATTTTTTTATAATATAGCAATGTCAAAAGCCCGAAGGATAGGAAAAAATTCCGTGTTTACAAGCGGCGGAAAATTTCTCGTGTTGACATTGAGTTATATCAACATGGCTCTTAGCCAATCAGCGTTCAGAATTTACAAATGCTATATTATAATGTAAATTGTAAAATGCATAGATGAACCAAAATATGCTGCTGTAATTTACCAGTTAACCCATTGAGTCGCATTGCACCCTGATGCACCTTAGTTTAGTATTTTACTCTGTTTAACGCCAGACGATTTTATTCGTCAAGGGGAAAACGCTGGCGCTTAATGTGTTAACTGGCCTATCTGCCCATGTGTCTAGTTAACCCATTGAGTCGCATTGCACCCTGATGCATCTACTTTAGTATTTTACTCTGTCTAATGCCAGACGATTTTCCTAGTCAAGGGGAGAGCGCTGGGGCATAATGGGTTAATGTCCAATATTTTCACTTTGATGAGTAAAATCATCTGGCATTAGACAGAGTAAAATAACAAAATATAGACATATTACGGCTTAATGGGTTTAATCCTACTATACCACATGATTTGATTTGTCGCAGAAACTCACCATATTGTTTTCCAAATCAGATGTCAAAGCAGCTGTTTTTTCCTTTGCTTTTACAATCTGCATAAAGGTAAATGTTTATATTAATAACAAAGTTAAACATTTACTGATAGTAAATAGAATGTTAATATCTGAATAACAAATACATTGCTTAGGTTTCTATACCTTGGCTTGAATTCTCTCGCTTTTCTTGTGCTCCAACGCTAGCGATCGATGATTTAGAACAGCTTTAAACCTTGCTTCTTTCCTTTCTTTCATATACATTGCAATGTTAAAACGTTTATCTTTGGTATTAGGCATTTTCTTTGGAAATCTTTTAAATGCGACTTCTGTGCATCTGCGAATCCTTTATGAATAACACAAGGAAAACAACTAAGTATCAGGTCCTGTTACTCTCAAACGGAGACAAAATTTTACAAACAAAAATCATACGATGCTCACCAGAGGTCTTAAGTTGCTTTACAAATACAATTCTTCAAGGATTGACAAACGATGCCAAATTTTATCCGAGAGAAAACTAGTTGAATTTCACAAACTGTGCAGTATCGTCCATTTTAGTCCTCAAAAAGGCGAAATATTCTATTATTTCCTCGTGGGTTTACGGCCACTATTTGGTATTAAAATGATCCTTGAAGCATCTCCTTTCCATATTTGCTGTTCACTTTCGACCCAGACAATACCATGAGCCTCAGCGAAAGAAAAAACGATGACTAATTAATTCGTTACCATTCTCCTTGGTAAAACACGGAAAATTCGCGCAATTTTTAATGACATGCAAACTGCCGAAAATCATTGCTTGCTGACCCGGCGTGATTTGGTGCCGCCATGCGGAATGATGGCTTCCGGCGTTACGTCACAAAATAAAGGTCTCTGATTCGCTAGGAAATTTCAGCCAGCCAATCAAGGGTTTTTTTCGAAATTTTAAAAATTTTCAGCAAATCGTATTTTATAAAAACAAAATTAAAGCAAAAATGTATCATAGGGATTTTCTTACGAAAAAGGCAGTCAAAACAGGTTCAATTCATTTTCATAATGCAGATAAAAAGACTGGAAATAATTTGAATAAGTTAGTTAAGGGTACTAAAGCCAACTATTATAGAAATGCCATAAATCTTTGCCATAAGGATTTAAAATCTATGTGGAAAACTATCAATCAACTCACAAATAAGAAGTCGAAAACAACAAATATTAATGAATTGGTACAAGACCAAAAGTTATCACGAAACCAGATCAAATAGCAGATGCTATGAATAATTATTTTAATGAAATTGAACCGGCTCTGGCAAATAAGTAATCTTTCAAGCGGGCTTAGTTGTTTCGACACTTATATCAACCCTATTAACACTACATTTGAAATTCAGGAAATTGTTGCTTCGGAGTTTACAAGTGAGATTTCGAGGATTAAAACCTCAAAAGCTACTGGACACGAACGAATATCGCCAAAACTTCTGAAAGATAGTGTAGAAGTTATTGCCGATTCTCTCACAAATATATTTAATAAATCTATTGAAAAAAACATATTTCCTGATTATTTCAAGATTGCATGCATATCTCCTATACATAAAGGGGATAGCAAATTAGAATGTAGTAATTACAGATCAACATCTATTATATCTGTTGTAGCAAGAATGTTTGAAAAACTCACCTGCAGGCAATTCATCAATTATTTAGAAACTAGCCACTTGCTGGCAGATAGCCAAGCAGGCTTTAGGAAAAAGAGCTCAACCACCAGTGGCGCTGTCAGCTCGATAATTGGGGGGAGGACGAATATTCATATGTTCGTGTTCACATGCCATAAAAACAATCGATCGCTATTTCAAAAGAAGTTAATAACGATCACAACTTCTCTTTTGAACAATACGAACCAATGGTATATGAATATGGATAAAGGCCTTTGAAATGGAATTATTTTTCTTGACTTAAAAAAAGCCTTTGATTGTGTCGATCATAAAATCCTGATTAAAAAACTATCTTACTTCCGCTGTAGAGGATCTACATTAATTTGTTTCAAAACGTACTTAGCAAATAGAAAACAGATGTGCAAAGAAAATCAAGTGATATCAAAATGTCGAGTGCCACAAGGTTCAAATTTAGGCCCAATTCTGTTTCTTGTCTACAGTATGTAAACGATTTACCTAATTGTTTAAAAACAGCTACAGCTATATGTTTGTCGATCATACTAATCTGATAGCAAGTGGCGATACGATAATGGACATCCAAGTAAAATTGAACAATGATTTTGAAAATATACACGTGTGGTTGCTAGCCAAAAAATTAACACTCAATAGGAATAAAACATAATAATATGATTGCTGGTTCTAGACAACGACTTAGTAAAATTGATAGCCATCCAGATATTAAGCCGGGAGATTGTAATATAAAAAGAGTTAAAGAAACAAAAACTTTCGGGTCAAATGGAATTGCATTATTCGATATATTGCAGCCAGCTTCGGCCTTCGGCCTCAGCTAGCTGCAATATATCGAATAATGCCGTTGGCCTCAGTAATTATCTATTAAATATATACAATGAGATAAGTCAAATTGTTAGTAAATCCGGATTTTCCCATTCCTTATTTCGGCAGCAAAAAATGTAATATGTAGTTCTAATAGCAATAGTCATCATTTTCCTAACGCAGTATATTTGGTGGCTTTTGTCAAGACTTTCTAACATGTCTAAAAATGTATAACATTCTTCTGCAAAAATACCTAAAGAGCTGATGGAGAGATTTATAAATTTAACTTGGTTAAAATTTTTACCTAGCTGTCTCAATAATTCTCTATATTTATCCTTCTTCCGTTTTATGTTGTATTTGAGGTTTGTCTCATAACCAGTGGTGAGTTAAAATAATAATAATAATAATAATAATAATAATAATGATAATGATAATGATAATGATAATAATAATAGTAATGAAAACTTTATTAATAGAATATTTATCCCCGAGCCGACGGCGCGAAGCGCCGTGCGAGGGTACTAATTCCCCCCCCCCCCGGCTATTTACACCTGGGGAAACGAAAGCATTAGCGGAATCTAAAGTTCATCAAATATCGCGGGCGTGGGTCACCAACGGTGTTGGGTGGGTGGTCATCCTCACTGATCTCAAAAATATGGCGGACTGTCACGAATAGCGGACACTGATTGGTCCAATTTAAAGTTTGCATTATAACGACTGCTCAGGCATGTTAATGCCTGGGTCTGCCCACGCTTGGAAGATATCTTGCGCGCGTGCAACACGCGCGATCTGTCAGTAATGCGTCTGTTAGAACTGTGCGCCCCTTGTGGGAGTATTTTAGTGAATTCGGGCGTTTGCTGCAAATCAAAATATAGTATATATGAGCGACAGGATTATTTTGGAATATACAATGCAAAGAAGTCGTTATACTATTCAGTTTTGATGTAATAATTGGCTCTTTGTATAGCAATAAGTATTGTATCATTTGCGACAGTTGACCTTTGAACTGCTGATAAATAAAAGCTTCTTATAGTACGCAATCTTGCGATTATTACACTGACCTGAAAGGTCAAGTGTCTTAAATCCCTAGCTTTCTGTTTTCTGTTTTTTTCGTCGTCGAGAAATCGAGTTTGCGTTCGCGCATCGCAGGCTCAGGGTGCAACAATTAATCCAAAATGCCATCGATTCTTCGACTCCACGATTCATATACAGGGTGTATCAAAAAAAACTGAACAGATTTGAAATTGCTCTCAATTTCGCAAAACACCTATTTGTATCCGGTTTTTTATATATATATATAGCTTCTTTGGGCACTTATAATGTAGAATAATGAAAAAAATTTCTCAAACTCAAATTTTGTGAACCAGGGGAGTGTGTCTTTTCCAACAAAATAAAAATGGCTCGCGCACAAAATTTAAAAGCTTTAATCATATTTTGAGTTAATGGATGGAAACTTTGTTTGGTTGTTACTTACTGTACAAAATTTCAGACAATTTGGTTTAGTTTAAGCCGTTTAACTATTCATTTTATTCTAAAAAATCAGCCTTTCGCATGCTTAATTAATGCCTTTACCTAATTTGCATATTGGTAACATATGCAAATTAGGCAAAGGCATTAATTAATTAAGCATGCAAATAGCTGATTTTTAGGAAAAATGTAACTTTGCGTGAATAGTTAAACGGCTTAAACTAAACCAAATTGTCTGAAATTTTGTACAGTAATTAAAAACCCGACAAATGTTCCATCTATTAACTCAAAATATGATTACAACTTTTAAATTTTGTGCGCAAGCCATTTTTAGTTTGTTGGAAAAGACACCCCCCCCCCCCCCC